ATTATTATTATTATTATTATTATTATTATTATTATTATCATTTTATTATTTATTAGTACTATTATTACTATTACTATTATTATTATTATTACTACTTCTACGATGAATATTATTTTTAATAACAATAACAATATTATTATTATTATTATTATTATTATTATTATTATTATTATTATTATTATTATTATTATTATTATTATTATTATTATTATTATTATTATTATTATTATTTTATTTTTAGTAGTAGATAGATAAATTGTGAGGAAAGAGAGTGTAGATATTAATGAGGAGAGAGGAGAGAGAGTGTGAATATTAATGAGGAGAGAGAATTGAGTTGTTGGAATAAAATATATAGGTTAGTAGTAGGTTTTAGTAGGTTTGAAAATTGAAAAAAGTATGAATAGTGTATTTTCAATAGAAATTTGATAAGAAAAAATGGGAATTTCTGGATAAAATTGTGAACAAACATGATCTCGGTTTTATGAATAGTATAAAACTGGAAAGTGGGTTTGGAAATGAAACCAAACATCCCCATTAATTTTGAGAATTAGAACTACGAAAAACATTTTTAATCGAGAATTTTTGGGTTCGGGTGATATTTTTAGACCGAGAACAAAATTGCAAATTTTCATAAATTTATAAGAAAATTATAAATAATTTTCAGAATATAATTTTATTTTTTCCAGAAAATTTGGGTGAATCGTGAAAAAAAATATTGAGAGTAAATTGAGTCCAAGAAAGAAAGAAAGAAAGAGACACACTTTTTATATAGGGGAAATATGCAATACCCCCCTCATTTGAAAAATATTTTGATATAAACCCAATTGACTTTAAAGACTTTTTTCAAAACCCAAATCCCAATCTAAATTAGTGAGACCCCCCTCACCAGACATGATAAGACTAAAGTGCCCATGTGTTAGGTTTTTAACGTGATATAATTTTATTTCTCACTCTTGTATATCTCTCCCTCTTTCTCTCTCTCTCTTCTCTCTCACTCTCGTTCTCAATTGCTCTCTCTCTCTCTCTCTCTCTCTCTCTCTCTCTCTCTCTCTCTCTCTCTCTCTCTCTCTCTTTTTCTTTTTTTTCTCCCCTGCAGATCAACTGCCATCGCCGCCATCCTTCTCCTTCTCCGCACCACCGTCGTAGTCCGCTCACCCTGGCTACCGATCACAGCCGCTCACCGCACTACACCTAGCCGTCCGCCTCGGAGATGCCACCGTTGTTCGCGTCCTCGTCACCGCCGGCCGGCCAAAATTCAATTTCTCTTCTTCTTCTCAATTAAAAAAATTATAAATTCACCCCACTCTCTCTCTCTTTCATTCACCGTCGTTGTCCTCGCCTCACCCTCCATCCCTTTCATTATTTTCGATTTTTTTCATTTTTTTTTCTCTCCAGATCTGAAACAGTAGCATCAACGTGACTACTCTGGTTCGAATGTGACTATTGTTGATTCACTCGATTAGTTAAACTGTGTTTGAAGGTCAGAGGTTCTGCTTTAATTTTGTTGGTTTCTAATTGGGGCTGGGTTGTAGTGTGTGTATTCAGATATGTGTGTATGTATATTTAGAACCGAATTTTCATTGTTTTTTTTTTTGGGTCGTCTTAATTGGTGTCAATGATCGTTACTGATTGAAATTTTATACCGATTAACGCAGAGTCGCGTTGTGACTACTCTGTAAATCTTTTGTTCGTTTTGCGTTAATTGATACGATAGTGTAATTTTATTGTAATTTGTTTTTTTGCGTTACTTGATATGTTTCAATGTGTTTGTTGTGGTTGAATTGAATTCACATAATATTATGTGATTTGCATTTACAGAGTAGTGCAGATTTATTCATCAGAAGTAGTCACGTAGTAGTCACATTCTCGTTTTTTTTTTTGTAGTGCTGCACATCATGTCGTCAACCTTGATGATTGTGTTGAAGTATGGAGGCTCGTTTGGGGTGAAGATATGTCAGGTTGATTTTGTGTATGAAGACCTCGTTGGCTTTGTCACTGATAAGTGGTGCAGTTTGACTTCGAATATGACTATAGCCATATTTATGTATTTTTCGAATATGACTGTAGTCATATTCGAATATGACTGTTGTTGAATATAATCTATATTCTCGTTTTCAAGTTGGCTTCTAGTAAGTAAATTCAAATTGATTTTTTTGTGTGGATATTGATTGAATTATTTTCGTAAACAATAGGGAATCTTCGTTGTTTTATATGATTTGGTAAATATGACTATGCCATATAATCGGAATTTTTAAGTTCAAAATATAAAAAAAACGCAATATAAAGAAAAAATATGACTACAGTTAATATGCCGTAAGCATTCGTAATGTGCTGGTGCAAGTGTTACATCCTCAAAGAATGAAACAACTGACTTCAAGCTCCCTCTGAATTGTGAGGTCCACGTACCATGGTCAAGCACTTGACGTGCCATGTTTCGAGTTTCATCTGAAAAAAATCAATTTTCTGTATGTTACACACATATGCAACCATAAATAAGTCATTCTACCAATATGACTACAGAAGGTTACTACATCAATACACCAATTCAATTACAGGTTTTCATTATATGCTCAAACCATATCACATTCCCAATGCAAAAGTTAAAAATTCATAGCATGGAAGGTGGTAATGTGGCTGTATAACTACATATTCTGGCCTAGTCACATATAGTTTATGATGGTAATGTGACTATGTAATTAACAATTTACCAACTTAGTTAGCATTATTCATCTATGTCAATGGAAGGTCTTTAAACACAGGGCTACAACATGACTCCATATGAATAGACCACAACATCTATTGTTGGCAATTAATACATCAACGCATACCCCAAAAATAACTGCTGCCCGCAAAAATATGTGTACCAAAGTAAACTACAGAAAATGACTATAACAATACAACTAATGACATCAACATGCAGACATATACCATACATTATATCAACATGACTACATAAAATGACTATAACAATACACTAATTTAGTTACAAATTTCTTTAACATACTCAAATCAGAGCATGTGTTCTGCTGCAAATGTTTAGAAGTCATAACATTTTTAACATTGGTATACAACTAATTACATCAACATGTAGACATATACCATACATTATGTCAACATGACTACAGAAAATGACTATAACAATACAACTAATGACATCAACATGCAGATATATACCATACATTATATCAACATGACTACATAAAATGACTATAACAATACACTAATTTAGTTACAAATTTTTTTAACATACTCAAATCAGAGCATGTGGTCTGCTGCAAATGTTTAGAAGTCATAACGTTTTTAACATTGGTATACAACTAATTACATCAACATGTAGACATATACCATACATTATGTCAACATGACTACAAAAAAAGACTATAACGATACACTAATTTAGTTTCAAATTTTTTTTACATACTCAAATCAGAGCACATTTCTGCTGCAAATGTTTAGAAGTCAGAACATTTTTAACATTGGTATACAAACTATTTACATAACATGCAGACATATACCATACATTATATCAACATGACTACATAAAACGACTACAAGTATACACTAATTTAGTTTCAAATTTTTTTAACATACTCAAATCAGAGCATGCTTCTGCTGGAAATGTTTAGAAGTCACAACATTTTTAACATTGGTTAAATTACAGTTTGGGCATACATACAGAACACTTTTCAATGAAATCCGAACAACCATAGATTCATTGTGTATGTAGTACAGTCACATATAGTCATGAGGCAACCATAAATCATCCCAATAAACCCTTAAAGTGAAATTAAATTGGATCTACGGGCATAAATAATATATTTTTGGCAATATATGGTACAAAAAATTGATCGGCAAAAAACAAAGGATTTAGGTATACAAACTAACCGGCATCAAGATGCATAATGTCCTGAGGATTGGGTCTTCGTTTACGCTTCTGTGACGACTTCTTCTTCATTTCAAAAAGCAGACTCGAATGTGACTATCGCAATTGAAATTTACGGGATTTTGACTACCGAAACACCACCAAAATAAAATACGACTGTGAATGGGGAAGGTGGGTTAACGATTTTGTAGCAACAATCTTTGATTTTCGAATGTGACTACAGATTCGCTGCTAGTATTTTGAATTTTCGCTAGTTTTTGATTTGGGGGAAAAATCCCAATATGTGGGTCTCCTGCTTCTGGATGATGCGGTTTAATTTTTTTTTCTTTATAAATGTTTAATTAAGAGCAGTTTATTAGAGAAACTAATTAATTAAGCATAAATAGCGGGATTAGGTCCCTTATTATTAGGGATTTTGAAAATAATATATAAAATATAAAATAATCGTGAGATGCTAGTAGAGGGGTAAGATGGGAATTAAATATTTTAGGGGGTTTTCACAAAGGAAGATTTTGGGTATGGACTTATCACTAGTTTTTATCTATAAGAGGGGTGTATTGCTAATGACCCCTTTTATATATAATCGGATGGGCATTTTTGTCCGAAATTGTCCAACATCTAATACAATGGGCCGGTCAAATTTGAAAAAAGACAAATTCTTAATTTAACATGACTTAACAGCAAGGACCACTTTGTTGCATATATATAAAATTTGTGCATGAATAAAATTTGTATAATAAAATTTGTATTTAACTCTTTTATTTTTTACTCGTGTTGTAGCAAATTGCCCTTTATTTTATTTTTTTATTTCTATTGATATTCCTTTTTTATTTCAAATAAAGTATTCCCACTACTTTTCACCCAAGCTGGACATGACAAACAGGCACAGCCTCTTATTCCAGCCTCAAGAAAATGATTTTATTCTCAAATAATCAGATAGATTTAAAAACCAATCATTAATTAAACAAATTCTCAATAGCAGAGCAGCCATCATCAGATTCACAACAAAAGCAGCAGCAATGGTTGAAGTTGAAGAACAAGACGAATACTCAAACCCTCTTCTCACAGATATCCCTTCTTCATCCTCAGATTCTAACCATGCTTCCCTCAAAAGAACAGGTCAGTCAGCTTTAAGTCAACCTTAATTTCTGCTAATCAAACTAAAAAAAAAATTGATCTTGATTCTTGCCCATCACTTAAATTACTTTGTTAGTTGCAAAAACATCAAAATCTTGAATTTTTATTAATTTTTGTTTTTTTTTTTGAAATCTGTGTGTTTGAATGTGAAGGGACTGTTTGGACAGCAATTGCACATATAATAACAGGGGTGATAGGGTCGGGTGTGCTTTCACTGGCATGGAGTGTGGCTCAGTTGGGTTGGATTGGTGGTCCTTTATCCATGGTGGTGTTTGGAATAATCACTATTATTTCTTCGAATTTACTTTGTGATTGTTACAGATATCCCGATCCCGAGGTGGGCCGTATCAGAAACAGGTCTTATGCCGAGGCTGTGAGCTCTTATCTTGGTAATCGAACGGTACTCTTTCCCGTTTTTCTTTTAGGGCTCGTTTGGTTGGTAGGATTATTAGCCGTGATTTGATTATTGAACGTTTGGTTAGTCAAAATAACTTTATTGGACCGGCCCGTGATTGTGGAAAAATGGTTTTTAATGTTGCCTATATCGAATAAGTTTAGATTAGATGGGATTGGATTAATTCCCTGCTGATTAATTTATTATTTAGTTAGTATGATGTTCGGTATGTAAGATTAGATCTTGTATTCAATCTGTTAAAAATTCTAGTATTATATGTGATTTGTCTGTAAGACCTTTTATTTAATAAAATTAACATGTCGTTTGAAGGATAAATTAGTCTTTTAATTGTTTAGTCACCCGTATTAAATTAATCTCGGGGGAGGGGTGCATAATAATTTAACGAAATAGTAGCATTTAATAGCGGACTTTGATTTTAGTAGCGGTTTTGAAAAATTGTGAATCTTGTCAACTGAACGTGTTACTAGCCCCTACTATTTAGTTAGTAGAACCTTATAGCAGTAACCAAACGAGCCCTAAGTAGGTTTTCATATTATAATTTAATCTTATTTTAGGAACCAAACGAGGCCTTAAGTGTTGTATAAGGTAGATGTGCACCGATAATGGAATGAGATGGTCTTTGTGTCACAAAATTACCTGATTTTTTTGTATTCTCTTTCTCAGTTCATTACTCGGTCATTGACTAACTAATGTTACCTCATAGTTGAATAAAACAAATTTTCTCGTCGTCAAAATCGTAAAATGACTCTTAAATGAAATGAAATTGTAAAACGAGACTTAAAATTTATGTTCATGGGCAGGAAAGAAGAGTATGTGGGTGGCTGGAATATTTCTTCAAGAAAGTTATTTCGGATACGGGATTGCGTATACCATCACTTCCGCCATCAGTATGAGGTATTTCCCGTTTTTACCTTATGTACGAGTTTCATCAGTGTCGATTGCTATATCTTGATAAGATTATCGAGAACGATTAGTAAATAAGTGGTGCAATGCAAGGACTATTAAATATGATTTTAAATATTCGGTATATATAATATATAGGGCGATTCTGAAATCAAATTGTTACCACAAGGAAGGGCACGACGCGCCGTGTGAATACGGAGATAGTTTATTCATACTTTTGTTTGGAGGTGTTCAGATAATATTCTCTCAGATACCCAATTTCCACAACATGCAGTGGCTCTCGATAATCGCCGCCGTCATGTCATTCGCGTACACCTTCATCGGACTCGGTCTCGGTTTCGCAAATGTACTAGGTACATTAGTTTTCTCTCTATTCTTGATTTTGTACTACTATCAAAAATTTCTCTAGGTAGTTCGACGACAGGGTTATTGCATTTAATACACCTGTGTTATATCGAACTGTTAAAAAAAACACCGTGTTATAAATATTAACAGAAACGCCACACAACCACTTAAATGGTTAGTTTTTGGGGGTAGTTTGCTAAATATAGTATTATCGCGGGGGGGGGGGGAGTTGCTAATATTTATATCATAGGGACTCTTTTAGAAATTAGACTAAATAAAGGGGTGCAATAAACCCTCCGACAGACTATAGTACTCGAATAATAATAATAAGGGTAAATTACACCTACACCCATAAGGTATGCTAAAATAACTTTAAGGTCCTTGTGGTATTGGTAATCACAACCACACCCCTGAAACAATTACCAAAGCCAAGATTTCTGGCAACCGATATGCACTATATTTGTTTTCCAGTGGGCCGTTAATGCTACCAGGCGAAACTTTATAAATCTAATATAAAATAGTAAGGCCTCGTTTGGTTGGCAAAATAAGATTAGCCAAGATAAGATTAACTAATCTAATGAAACTCAATTATTTTGTCGGACCTCGCGACGTCCGACAATAAAAACTCTCTAGAAGGTAAGATAAGACATGATAACATAATTTTGACGGGTCGACCCGTCAATTTATTGGAGATACCAAACATTATATAAAGTCCAATTATTTAGTTTATCATGGCTTATCTTGGCAACCAAACGGGACCTAAGGATTTAAGAAATGTTAGGAGAGCCATGTCACCCCCTAGCTCTATGTTGTCTCCACTATTGGCTGAAATTAATAGTCCGTTAGAACCCTAACGAATAACTTATCCAATGCATTATTCTGTTAGGGTTTCTAACAATGTTTCAGGAGGTGATTGTAATTACCGATACTACAGGGACCTTAAAGTTATTTTAGCATACCTCAGGGGTGTAGGTGTTATTTACCCTAATAATAATAATAATAAATCTGTAATAATACTAAGTTTTTGAAAAGCGGTGGGGGGCCATGGCCCCCATGATCTTATGCAGAAAACGGAGAGATCAGAGGTGATCTTAGCGGAGTATCTACATCCACAGTTGCTGACAAAGTATGGCTTTCGTCTCAAGCAATTGGAGACATTGCATTCGCTTTCACCTACAACGTAATCCTTTTAGACATTGAGGTAATTAATTTAAAAAATATATATAGTAACTTGTGATGTTTATATTGTTTTAATAATAATTATAAGACACTAAAATCGAATATACGAAAATCGAAGGATACACTAAAGGCACCTCCGCCGGAGAACAAGACAATGAAGAAGGCGTCGACTATCGCGATACTTATTACGAGCTTCTTCTTTTTGTGCTGTGGGTGTTCGGGATATGCTGCTTTCGGAAACCAAGCACCGGGGAATATGTTGACCGGCTTCGGATTTTACGAGCCCTATTGGCTCGTTGACGTTGCTAATGCTTGTATTGTTCTTCACCTTGTCGGAGGTTATCAGGTACATATATATCCCATCACTTTATTTTTAGCATTGCGTTTATTTTTTGACTAATTGAAGCATTTAACGAAACAATAAGGCCTCGTTTGGTTGTTACATTGGAGTTAAGTTAAGATGAGATACTTGCAGTTTTATTAGGGGCCGATTTTGCAGTTCGATCAGGGGCTGATAAACAATTTTTGAATAAGCTACGATAAAGTCAAGATACAAGCAATCAAAAATCAAATAAGGACTAATTATTTAATTAGTAATGACATATCTACCAACCAAACGAGGCCTAAATATATATATGTGGAACTTTGGGTAAGCAAATATGATACTTGACAAATATCACATTACACAGACGTACACACTGCGTAATATGGGGACGAAAAGATCAACGAATTTGTCCTTATGTATGTTTCCATCTTAGTTAGGGGTGGCAATTGGAATGGAATTTCTGAACTCGCTAATTAAGATCCGAAAACTTCCGATTTTGGAGCAATATTTTTTCATTTAGAATTCTGAAAGTTTCACTTCCGATATTTTTTTAATAGAATTGACATATGAGACCCCGATTTCCAATCCGATTATATTTTTTAAATATTTCCAAAAATTCCAATTATTTTCGGAAAATTGCACTTCTAACTTTAGGTGACTAAAAAAATTGAATTTCCGAATTCCGCCGATCCCAGTCTGAAAATTTTCGATTTTGGAACAAGTTTTTTGTTCCAATCTCCCAAATTACGATTTTAGATTTTTCCATTTTTTTTGGAACGGGGTTGTAATTTCACTTCCCAAAAAAAAAAAAGAAAAGGAATGTTTCCAAAAGTGCCAATTCCAATTCATTATGTCTGATCTCCACTCCGAACTAATCTTACTAAATTAGATGACGAAATGAACGATAATATTTTTTAAGCGATTCAATCATGTATCATCGTCTGGCAAATTTCTCACTTATTTATTTTCCCGATTCATTTAAATTTTCCTCCGCTCGTTTTCTTGCAGATATACAGCCAGCCATTATTTGCAGTAGCCGAAAGACAAATAGCGAAAAAGCATCCGAACAGTAGATTCGTCAACAACGAGTACAAAATCAAGCTCCCACTTCTCCCCCAATTCAAATTGAATCTTCTTCGGCTATGCTTTAGAACCGCTTACGTGGCATCGACAACCGGACTCGCTCTATTATTCCCGTACTTCAACCAAGTTTTAGGAGTACTCGGTGCATTGAATTTTTGGCCGTTAGCGATTTATTTCCCCGTGGAAATGTACTTGGCTCAGAATAACGTTCGAGCTTGGACATCTACGTGGATTGTTCTTCAAGCTTTCCGATTGTTCTGCTTGCTTTGCACCATCTTAGCTTTTATTGGATCTGTGCAAGGACTCATTAGCAACAAATTGAGCTAGAAAATTATTGTTGAATATATTGTATGTGATTCTTGTGAGTTATTTGATGGTCATATATATAGTTATAATATACGTAAACTTTGAAATGATCGATCGATATTCTGCATTTGCGATTCTATGTGTTTGCAGTTTACATAATGGCAATATGGTTCAGCCATAGATTTTACCTTGTATTTTCAATGTTTTACCCACTATTTTAAATTCTTAGTTAAGAAAGAGAACTTTTTTGAGGTAAAATGTTTAAATATTGGGACTTCACCCGGAAAGCTTCACATCCTTTGTTATATTCATTCCAGAAATACCCCTCCACTCAAATTCGAAAATAGCAGTAAGGTGGTGTTTGCAAATACTTTTTGAAAGTGATTATGCGGTTTTTTTTGCTTATAATATGTGTTTGCAAAATCAACTTTTGCTTTTGCTTCTCTTAAATAATCTGCTTTAAGCTATTTTTTAAAAACACCCCTAACCCTGCTTTTTCAATTTTAGATCATTTTCCGAAATATTTGCAAACACCCCCAACTTTTAGAAATAAGCACTTAAAACTAACTTAAATCACAATCACTAACTTCTGCTTATAAATAATCATTTGCAAACACCACCTAAATAATATTCAAACTGCATTTAATACCTTCATTTTTTCATCCAACATATCTTATTTTATTTTTACAGACTTGTTCATCTTTGTTTTTTTATTTTTTTCATTCTAACATTTTTTACATTATTATAAACAACTTATTTTTCCCTTTTTTTTAAACCTTATATTGAAAATTATGAAAAAAACATATTTTTCGCTTTTGTTGAATAATTCAGCAGATTGTAAAAATACTTTGGTATACTATGAAATATTATATGGTGTACTATGGTTCATTATAGTGTATTATAGTGTACTATTCCAAACATTATCACCCAACAACTCTCAGCGGTTGCCAAATTCTAACATTCAACATCTTCCAGCCGCCGTCAAACCATAGCAACTAGAACTTCCAGCCGCCACCAAACCTTATCAACCAACAACTCCCTTACCGTCACCAAACCCTATCAACTAAAACCTAGACGTCCACGAACCCTAGCAGCCTCCCATCGTAGATCTAACCTCACATCCGTCTCCTTACCTCCATAACCATCTGCCTTATTGCCGTCGCTTCCACCGTCATAGTTACGCCATAGTCACCGCCCCCTAAATGATGAGGTGGAGAGAGAGAGTAGAAGAAAGAAAAATATAGATACTAGAGGAACCTGATTCTAGAGTTTATGGATTTAGATTAAGAGTAAATTAAGATTTTATTTAAGGATGTGAGTCATATTTATTTTACAAAAAATATTTAGTTTAGAAAAGAAAAAAAATATATTAGGAATGTATTCCACATCTAATTATATTTCTAGCTAAGGCTTATAGCATATTAACCCTTAAAATAAACATCACTTTGTGTTGCGTAAATATTAAGAAAACTAAGAAAAAACATATAGAATGTGATTTAAACATCCTTCCCGTTAATGGAAAAGATGTTTAAAATGGATATTCTCAATGTCCATACCTCAAAGTACATTTGCCTTCAGTTTTGCCATCCTAAGTCCAGGACCTCATCTTTCAAAGAGGTATCTGATAAGCTTAACTTCAAGCTTTGTGGCTGGAGATCAAAACCTCTCCCAGGCGGGAAGAACCATTCTCATCAAGATAGGCCATTCCTTCTTTTGCCAAGCCCTCCTTCCTGATCCCTAAATCCATTTGCTCCTCTCTTGATGCTGACATGAGGAAATTTTGGTGGGGTCAAAACTATAATATTAATGGCAACTCCTTTATGCTTAAAAGTTGGGACTCTATTTGTCTCCCCAAAGTTGTGGGTGGTTTAGGGTTTAGGAGAATGGTACCTTAACAGTGCTTTCTTTCTAAAAATGCATGGAACATTGTCTTTGGAAAGATCACTCTCTGAACTCAGCTTTTATCTTCCAAATATTATAGAACCTCCTATTTTCTCTCTAACTCTCCTCCTATACTCAAACCTCTTCTTGGATATGGAAAGACACCACGAAATGTAAATCCTTCATTGCCCAAAATATCTGCTTTGAAGTCACTTATTTTTCTCTCCTTCCTGTTTGGTCAGCTCCTTGGATTCCCACCATTTGTAACTCCATTCCCCCCATTTCCTTCGGCCCTCACTCTGTCTATGTTGTCCATAACCTTGTCTTTAAAGGGAGCACGGTCTGGAATCAGGAACTCTTGTACTATCTCTTCACTGAAGATATAATTCTTGAAGTTCTTAAAATCCAGGTCTCCCCATATGAAAGGCAAGATAAGCTTTTCTAAAAGTCTTCCAAGTCAGGACTATTATCCACTAAAAACGCCTTACTTTCCTCTCAAACTGCCAGATCTGATTATGCTGGCTCTCTCCACTTTCAATTGGAAATCCTTTTTCAACTCTCATATTCACAACATACATAAACTCCTCCTTTGGAGAATCCTCAACAATATTCTACCCACAAGCTCGAGATTGAGCCTTCTTTTCCCTATCCAAAACTCCTTCCGGCCTCTTTGCAATAATGAGGATGATAACTCTGACCATCTCTTCCTAAAAACTCTTGTGGAGCAAATTTGATTCACATCCAAATGGAACTTCCGTCTGGATGTATTCCAAAATATCAGCCTCTTCAACTGGCTTTCCTCCCTCCTTCCTCTCAAAGAGTTCATTACCTTTGTTGTTGTTCTTTTTGATTTTGTTTGGATGACCCGTAATAAAGTGGCTCATGGCTCCCCTCTTCCTCATTTACATGTGATCTCCAAGAGAATCCACTCCACCGTTCCTGCCCACTGGAAAAGTCAGCAAACTGCAATCTCAAATAATGGAGATCACTGTCAAACCTGGAGCAAACCCTCATCCTTCTGGATCAAGACCAATTCTGATTCCAAGTTAAAAAAATGGCATTGCTTTCTCCACTACCTTGATTTGCAACAGAAACGACTCTAGTATTTTTGCTCATTCAAACCATCACCTTTGCATTGATCCGTTTGTTGCTGAAGCCATCACGCTAAAAAAAGCTTACCAAATTCTCCACCATGCAAAGATCAAGGAAGCTATTCTCTTCATTACCTCCAGCAGTTGCATCATCGATCGAAATGTTAAGCTGATCGTAGATGAGATAAAAAAATATTAGGCTCTTTGGCCAAAATGGAGTTTCAAATATATATCTCGCAATGCTAACTTCGCGGCATAGCTTTGCCTCTTGGGCCTTTAGTTTATCAAATAAGACCGGCCCGATTCCACCTTGTAATATTACGATTAATTGTGTTTTTGATTTTGGATCCCCACTAGTCGACAATTATAAGTTTACGTTTCATTAATATTATGTAGTTCTTTTGTAAAAAAAAAAGTGGAAATTGACAAAATAATACTTAATACATCATTAGAATTCTAAATTAAAAACCAAGTGACAAATAATGTGACAAATAGAAAAATTAACCATAACAACTAACATGGAAGCAGAGTAATAATAATGAGTAAAATGTCTAAGTCTTTTGGTTTTTATTTCAAGTTCTATATATGCATATAGATTTTGCTCAAATTAGGATCCGAGGAGTTTTCGGTAATTTAGAAATTATTCATACACCAATACGCCACGTGCCACCATGCAGGTTACTTGTCCATGGCCCACGCCATCTTCGTATCTCTCACCCACCCAGACGCTGTAATCGTATTTACATTTTTTTTTTCCCTAAAATCTCAATTTACCCAAACCCTAATCTCTCTCCCCTTTATCATCAAAAACAAATTCTCTCTTTCTCTCATCCAGCCCTAATTGAAATTTCTCTCTCTTCCGGACTAAATGTCTTGCGAGACAGTATAATTGGAGGAGAAGCGATTCGCGAACGTTATTGATAGGCTTTCATACCCTTATAATTTAGGGTCCAGATACAAATGGTCAGTTCTATACTTTTTTTCTCTTTCAAATTGTATTCCGATTTTGATTTTTTTTTGGAAATTGATTACGGTTTCTTGGAATTTCGTTATTGTCTGAACTTTGAATTGGAAAATTTCCCCCCATTTTGCTAATTATTGTTAAATTGGATTTTGCTTACCTAATGCGTGCTAATTATTCTTACTGCAAAATGCCTACCAGTTATTTATTTAATGTGTTCGTATTTGCTTTTCCGTATTAGAATTTAATTTTCTAGTTTCGATGTTATTTTTTTTTTTGCCATATTTTAGGTATAAAATACGGATTTATTTAGCTTTTTTATCCCCTCAAAATGTTGTAGAAAGATGTATTGCTCCGAGGGCGCTAAGTATGCACATCATCCAAATGTACTATGTCGCATTCTTGCTATGTATATTTGACGTCATATTATGTTTTTAGCTTTAAGTGAGACATTTTGATTACGTTTTAATATACTATAAGCATATTTAACCCACAGTTAACCCGTATCCTGGTTGTATTTGTTTTGCTAATTCTGTTTCGACTTTAGTTAGAATGTCAATATTTTTGGTTTTTCTGGGTTGATACTTTAGTTTTGTCTTGTAAGGCCTCGTTTGGTTGGATTGATTACCCATGATTAACTAAATAATTGGACTTTATTTGAGGTTTGGTGTCCCCAATAACTTGTCGGGTGGACCCGCAAATATTAGGTTATCATGACCCGCAAAATTCCTTCACCAAAAAAATTGGTGGAAAAATAGGATTTGAGTATTGGGTGATATGGGGGTTGACCACGGTGGGAGGCTAAATCCAAATTTCTATAATTCTAAGTGTAATGGGGATATAGGAATTTTGGGTGGGAGGCTAAAAACACCTATATTAGATGAAAAAATGGCGTTATGGTGTCCGGTCGGAGATGCCCTTATCTTGCCTTCTAGGCATGTTTTTTATTGGATTTTCCAAGGTCCTAATAATATAATTGGGTTTCATTAGATTATTTAATCTTATCTTGGCAACCAAACGAGACCTGTATGTAATTATTTTTCGTGTTCGTTCCCTTTACAGAGCTTCAGAGAAGGAAGAGGCAGACCTCGTAGGGGTTACCCTTTAAGATCAGAAGAGAAATCCCAACATGGTCGAGGAAACATTCCACCATCGAGGCATCTTTGGGTTGGAAATCTCTCTCACAGCTTAACTGAGAATGCTTTGGCTCATCACTTCTTACAGTTTGGAGAACTCGAGAAGATAGCATTTCAACCGGGTCGGAGCTATGCTTTCATTAACTATAGAAACGAAGAAGAGGCTTTTATTGCAGTAAGAGAGCTTCAAGGTTTTGTTATTGAAGGCAATCCAGTTAGGATTGAGTTTGCCAAGGCGGTTAGTTTTGTTATTCTTTTATTGTATATGTATACATTCTTTTGCCAGTTTTATGCAATTTATAACCGTTCCAAGTTAGTGCATTAGATTCCAAGAACATCAGAAACACATCCATGCATACATGAAGGCGTGACACATTGCGCCCTCAAATCCATCTCTCACTTCACATATCAAATATTAATCGAACCAATCAGTTTCATTCTTTTGTCAGCATTGGAAAAGACAAAAACATAGAATATATTACTCGTGTAGGAAATAATGGTTCTTATCTTCATTTCCATTCCTCGATCTTCCTTCCTATAAATGTGCACGAGTAGTACTTCCCTTGTGTTCGTCATGCTCGAACGTCTTACTGAGATTACTCTAAGGTGCTAAATTCATGCCAAGGGATCACACTATTAAAGATGGATTCGTCTCGGGTTTTTTAGAAGGTTTAAGATATCATGTCGTTTCTACCCGTTACGGGTCCTTACAAATGAACGCAATAATAATAAAATAAGTCTAGTCCCTGGAGAAGTTGCAGAGAAGGTTCCCTAATTTGCGCTCTTCATTTTACTGAATATTGAGAAGGAATAATTTGTTTCAAGGGCTAGCTAGCTCCAATAGAGAAAATAAATTTAAATAATTCTCATGGACAAGGTGGGCAAGACTTTGAGGGAAAAACTAACTCGACAAGCATTAGACGATAAATGCATATCTAAGTGTGCTAAAGTGGAACTTGTCCAATTTATTTCAAAGGACATCGTGTTCGGATGAAGGTTGGAAGAGGGGAGATACCATCGTTGTTTACGTTAATCATTTGGACAAACCGTTGAAGAAAAATGCTTTCTTCAAGTATTTCCCTTTATTTTAATGTGTTACCTCACATTAGGCAATGCACGACTGAATAAGTGGAAATTTTTCCTAAATTATGTGGATTGGGCTACACATAGAATTTGGTATATGTTGCTTGAGTAATTGGTCAGAAGTCTACGATCTCGTGAAGCAAAAAAGGGCTAAATATTTGACAGCCAAAGTACATTAACTGCCAAAAGGAAAAAAGGGAAAAATGCACGTGTTTTGCGATACATGCATCCAAAAGCAATTGCAATCAGATTTCTTAATTTTATTTGATGCGCTCCCTTGAAATTTGACACTGTGTAGGGTTGGCATTTTGCAGCAAGCCACACACCTGTATCTTGAGACTACGAATTATGACTTAATTTATGCATCTGAACGAGAAGGGAAGTAGCTAATTGTTTCTTAGGAGAACAAAAAAGTAGGTAGTGGAAGGAATATCTTAAAAATACGAATTTTGTTGAAATTCTAAAACGATTTGTTCGGACTATCTTGGCTCTCTTCTTTGCTTTTTGCATCTACCAAGAGAAGGATTATATCGGCACAAGTTTCATATGTGACCATTGACCTCACGATTGCATTCTAATTTCTTGAATTAGATCTTGCATTCCGTTACCAATCCGCACAAGCATATCAAGATCCATTTGTTTCTTCTAAACGCAACATGCAGTTTCATTGCCATCAAATTCCTAGCAGATAGATACATCATTATCTATTTTCCCTTACTCGACCAAATTCCAGTACATTTATGCAAGAAGGATATACCATAGCTCGCATCCTGTCTTGCAGCATAAAGAAAACCATTTCAGTTTATAATTAGCCACCCTTCATTACGATATATTGTTTGGTACATTCTGTTTTTTGCTCAATAATCTAATGTATTGAGATAAAACGATGCTTCATTTCCCATAACAGGCTCTGCCTATCTGGTGAATTTCAGATCGCAAATCAGCCGATATTATACGTTTCTGGTTCATGTTTCTGAACTCGTCTACTTCTAACACATGGTCTCTATTTTCTTTGACTTCTTCCAATTGGTCTGTGTGGAAGTGCGATTCTCTTTGTGGGACAAATGTTTGTAAATTTTCATCTGTCCCAGAAACTTATTCTACACGTTGGCACATGGAGCATTTGCTTGAACACCTGATGCACTTGATATATTAAATTCGGAAACTTATACTTCTCCTTTAAAGTTGAACGGGAATTCGTTTGTCGGTCACCTAGTAAAACCGTTCCACTCTGCGAAATGCAATAGCCTCTGTGCCTGGTCAGGCATTATTGGTCGATTCTTTGTGCACCATTTACCTTCAACATATCCAAGTCTACCACAATGCATTTTATCTATTTACTCCACGCATGATCCATGTCAATTGTGTGCAAGACAAACTGTGGATCGATCGAGAAATATATGTTTGATTGATTTTCAGCATAGAGGTTCATTTTCTGTTTTGCTGTCTTAGATGATATACAGGAAATAATAAAATTTTGTTGACCTGATGCTGGAAATGCTCAATGAAATATTTGTTTTGCTGCATTATTTGTATATACCTATGTGCTTAGTATGTAGGTTCATATTCTCTTAGGACCGTTGAGATTCGTATGTTTTGTACTTATGAAGATACTGTCAACCTAGGAAATTGGAGTTCTCGTGTGTATTTTTATCATTCGTGCATGTATTGTTTATAAGTGCAGAAACGTTTCACTTTATTTTTTGGTGCATATCGTGTCTCCCTCTTTATCTGGTTTGTGATGTGAGCAACCATCAATAAGGTGAAAGTTTCTGTTGGTTGTTTCTTTAGATAACTCTCGGTATTGTTGAGGTAATCCCTTTTGTTTCTTTGATGGATTTGACCTTCGTTTTAGCCTTTTTACCTTAACATTCTATAAGCCATTTCAATAACGAATATATGTTTTCGATGCATAAATGTTGGTGGTAGAGTGAAACTATGCACATTCGAGTACTGCTTAGAGAAATTTGCGTTCGATTTATTGCTTCGTTTTCCGTTTCATTAATTTAATGGTTGAGATATTCGAATTTATCATCAGTTTTTGTGCCTCAGTCGGATCCTCTTGAAACTTCATCTAATCCAACCATCGATACAGTTTGCATGCAAAACATTGTCTTATTTTTTTTCGAAACTAATATCCGACTTTTCAGCACGACTATCTTAATACAGTTGAATACATTGCAGGAAAAATCATCAAATACACCACGCGACGCGGAATATTCCGAAAGGCGTGAAGATCCAAATCCCAGAGCAAGAGGTTCTCCGTATTCCCAGAGGGACTCAAGAGCACGTTATTCCAGCCCCGATATTTCACATTCGAATATTAATAGTAATAAATCTAGAATGAACGATAAAGATTCAGAACCGAGCGAGGTTCTATGGATCGGATTTCCCGCCCAATTAAAAGTCGACGAGTTCATTCTGCGTAAGTCATTTGCACCCTTTGGAGATATCGAGAAAATAACCGCTTTTCCAGGGCGCACTTACGCATTCGTCCGATACAGAAACGTGATTGCAGCCATTAGGGCTAAAGAAGCTCTCCATGGGAAACTATTTGGAAATCCACGCGTGCACATTTGCTTCGCCAAAACCGATTCTTCAAACAGAGAGAGGAATAATCCTCTGGACGACGATCCACCATCTCCCCACGGTGGACCGTCGTTCGGACGCGCAGGATCTTTCGAACGCTTCCGATCCGACAGATCTCCTCCGTTCATCCCAAATCTTGACCGGAATATCTACGATCATCGTAGAGCTCATATTCGTGAATACTCGCCCGAGAAGTTTCATAGACAAGGTCAAATGTACGATGATGACTTGTGGGATTTGCCTGAAGACGTTTCGTTTCTACACGGAGCGAAGAAATTGAAAACCGAAACGTACCCTCTTCCTGAAAACGAGTTGCCGGAGTATCCGTTTTCGGATTTGGAGAAATCGAAACGTGTGATTCCCCAATCTGTGGTTCTTGATAAGAATTACGATCCGAGATATTCGGGGTATAATAGTAGGCCGATTTCCGAGCGTTTGGTGAATGTACCGACAAACCAACAATTTGGGGAAAGGGGTGATTATTGGAATAATGCACCACAGGATGATTACAAGGGAGGTTCCGGTTCGATGATGATGCCTTTGTTGCGTACGAATGAACGGAGGGGATCGTCTTCGAAAGAAGTGTGGAAATGGGAGGGAATGATTGCAAAGGGAGGTACTACTATTTGTCGTACTCGTTGTTTTCCTGTTGGAAAACCACCTGATATAGCACTGTAAGTACTATTCTCATCATACTTCTCTGTGTGTGTGTGTGTTTGTGTGTGTGTCTGTGTGTGTGTGTCTGTGTGTGTGTGTTTGTGTGTGTGTGTGTCTGTGTGTGTTTGTTTGTGTGTGTGTGTGTGTGTGTGTGTGTGTGTGTGTGTGTGTGTGTGGAAAGTGAACATACATATTCGGGTTTTCATGGAGTGGGACTAAGGGTGGAAATCAATCCGATCAGATCCGAATTAGCATTTTGGAAAAATTCCAATTTTTTTCCGGAAGTGAGAAACTAATTCTAATGCCGTTAATGATTTTTTTTTTAGAAAAATGAAATCGGAATGAAAAATCTTGTTTCGAAATAAAAAATATAATTCGGGTCGGAGTCGGCGTGATTGAAATGTCCATTTTTTAGTCACTTATAATGTAAAATACATAATAATATTGATATTATAAGTGTAATTTTCGGAAATATTTTCGGGAATCAGTATATAATAAGTTAGTTCAATTCGTTCCGAAAAAATTGAAACTTTCGGAATACAGAATGAAATATTGTTCTTGAATCGAAAATATTCGGATTGGAACTAGCGTATTTTAAACAAATTCCGTTTCAGTTTCCCCCCCTAAGTGGGACGCACCATGGTAAAAAAAACGAACATAAAATATTAATATCGCATGAGATGCTTATGTACTATGATCTAACTCGTGATAATGACGTCATGCAGACCCGAATATCTGGACTGCACAGCAAGGACTAGTTTAGACATGCTGGCAAAACATTATTACCAAGCTGCCACCGCATGGGTCGTCTTTTTCGTACCAGCAAACGACCACGACATATCATATTACAACGAATTCATGAACTACCTCGGCGAAGAACAGCGCGCAGCCGTAGTAAAAGTCGACGAGAGAACAACCTTATTTCTCGTACCGCCTTCAGAATTCTCCGAGAAGGTTCTCAAAGTCCCCGGCCAGCTCAGCATCTCCGGTGTTCTCCTAAGGCTAGAACCTTCTGGAAATATCTACGCGGGCCCCACCTCTCAGAACGAATCAGCTTCTTCATTCGCGCCTAATTACTTGCCGCCACCTCCTCCACCACCACCTTTGACTACTAGTAGTAATAATTACGGAAAACCCGCGAACGATTATATTCGGAATATTCCGTCGCAAGCATCTAATAGTGGTGCTTACTCTGCAATGCCGCCTAGTAGACCGATCCAAGAAGCAACCCACATCAGCAATTATACTCCGGATTTCACGAGAGGGAATAGCGGAATGTTTAATGTTCCGGAAAGTTCTAATATCCCGTCCGAACAGCTGGCGCAGCTGGCGTCATCTCTTCTTGGACAGCAACAAGGGCAGGGGCAATTTGGGGAATATAGACCGCAGGGGAATATAAACCATCAATCTGGATATCCCGTTAGGGTGCCTCCGCCGCAGAATTATGGATTGCCGAACGAACAGGTGTCGTCTGATTTGTCACAGGCGCAGCAGATTGGTCAACTGCAGCAGTTGCAGCAGCAGTCGTTGGATTTAGCAGCTGCTTCGTCTCAGGCGAACCAGAACGATGATTCGGAGTCCGATCCGCAGAAACGTTTGCAGGCGACTTTGCAGCTTGCAGCGGCTCTTCTTCAGCAAATTCAGCATGGCAAAGGGAACTGAAAATCGAGATGCGTGAAGAAGGTGAATTGTGAATGTAGGGTTTTTATGAGTTGCTGTTGAATTTTCGATATTATGGTTTCCGTTTTATTTTCTCTTGCCTTTTGTTGTTATGGAACCGAATTATTTTGTAGTATGGATGGTGTAAAAATGTGGATGAAGGAAGCTGCGTTTTACTTGCACACAACGAACTTATGTTCGGTTTATTCGATTGATTGTCTTTTTATTGATTGTGTTGGGGAATTATTCGGTTGAACGTACATGGCAACTTCTATTTAGACATCCTTGTGTGCCTAAAATGTATCGAATGCGAAACTCATGTACCTGCTGAAATTTTTATAATTTTTCAAAAAATTCAAAATAGGTTTGAACGGCTAAAATTTCAAATATGTTAGTTTCTTTATAATTTTCTAAAATTTTTTATCATTGATAAATAAATAATTTATAATTAATTACAATTACGCCTCTTGTATTTTTAATATTTAGATGCATCCACATTCACATGTCTTAACTCATAACTTTTGTGATATACACTATTTTCCGAGTACGATTTCACGGTTTGCCGTTTTTCGCATTTCCTTTTTTGTACAAGTTTTGTTCAAACAATCAGTATGCGACGAGTTACACCTATAAAATGTTGGCACGATGCGCCGAATTGGGGTCGTTAGAAGTTGCACTCTTCCACTCCAGAGCCGCCTCTTTTTCGTTTTCCCATAAAATGATTAGGAGAAACATTCATTTAACATTCTTAATTGCATATTCGATTTAGTTATAAAGAGTCTATTATATAACTTCAATATTCGGACTTGAATGTCTAAAGTATTTGGCATCGCAATGATTCGAATAAATTTATGTTGATCAAAGTCGTGAAACTTATCTTTCGTAATAGATTACACACAACGACACATGCTCAACGGTAAAAGTACATTCTGCACATTAATGATGGATTCTTATACAAATTCGAAATACACATAAAAAAGAGAATGAGAGAGAGAGAGAGAGAGCGCACAACATTTGATGCTACAAGTACAACGAGGTCCGCCCTAATGGAACTTGAGGCTGGTCAGCACATTGTTGTTGACCGGATCGGCCAAATGGTCTAGAAGGTTCTGGAAGGGGCCCACACCGGTGACCAACCCTTGTATAAAGTATCCCAAAACAGCCAACATAGCCAATCTCCCATTCTTCACTTCCTTGAGCTTCAGCTCCTTCATCGACTTCTCGTCTTTCCCAAACCCTAACGGGTTGAAAAACGGGCCACCCGGGTAAGCGGGTTCGCCCGACCCGCTGAAGCCCTTTTCTAGGCCCAGGAAGTACTGCTTACCCATGGATCCAGGATTGTACCAATCCTGGAGCCTCCGGTGCTCGGCGAAGCCCATTAGGGCCATCTCGAGGACGAACAACGTGTAGCCGTCGGCCCAGTAGTTGTATGTTCCGGCCGGGGGAATCACCCCTGTCTGGAACCAGGGGAGAGCGGTCTCTGGTGGGATCAGACCGGCTTTCCCCAGGATTTCGGGGGCGATGGCACCCGCCGCCCCCAACATGGCGAAACGGCCGTTGATGATCTCCCCGTACGCTAGCCATTTCGGCTCGATGAACCCTCCGGTGCCTTCTGGGTCGGATAGGCCCAACGGGTCGAATCCGAAGTCACCTGGGAGGCTGAGAAAGTAATGATTTGTTATTTTTGTTTTGGGAAAATTGTAATTTTACATGCAATAAGTTTACAGAGCTATCATTTTTGGTCCTATTTAAAATATTCGTCATATTCTATCAAGGCCAAAATTAAATGTCAAATTTATAAATTTTAATCGTCTATATAAGCAAGACCCGTCAAATTTATCTGTTGCGTCATAAAATTTAAAAATCATGCGAAATAGGACCAAAAATACTATACTTGTAAAGTTATTGCATGTAAAATAGAAACATGGTAAATTAGAGGACTAAATCCATAATCATACCGATTCTTTTCCCTATTATTTTCATTGTAAGAATTTCGAATTAAATAATAATAAAAAAAATCAGAGGCAAGAGAGTTTAAATTAATTACCTGCCATCCAAGTAGGAAAGGCTCTGCTTAGATGCAAACCATAGGGGCCTGTTACCTCCTTGCTGAAACAATAACAAAATAAAATAAAATATTAATCATAATTTTCATGCATTAAAAAAAAACATTATTCAGACAATATGTCTGAAAAATAATTAATAAGAAGGGTATTTTAGTATTTATTATGTTATTTTTATAATCTATCCATATTTACTGACTATCTGAATATACGCGCAACTACCCAAAACTTAGTACCTTAACAGGTGGAGTAGCAGCTGACTTAACAACAAAGGAAACCTTCCTTGAAGAAGAAGTGTGCGCCGCCGGTGACCTTCCTCCGAGAATCTGTCGGGCGGCGTCGGCCGACGAGCAGATGGACGATGAAGAAACCAATGCCTGTGTTGCCATTTCCTTTTTTTTTTTACTTAGTTTTTTTTTTGCTACTCTCAGAGAGAAGAAGTAAGCATGAGAGCAGCAAAAATAGGGGACGAGTTAACACAAGCCAGGATTTGTGTGGGCCTTGTTGAGAGTTCAAGTTGTGGTGCACAGCATGTTTAGTTAGTTTATGTGATAAAATTGGGATCTTGTTGTCAAATAGAAATTGCACACGTGGCATGCTTTCTTGGATAATAGATTTATTGGCTTTGCATGGAATAAATCTTAGATATTCCCATGGCCACCTAGTCTTCATCTCTTAAACTTCGTTAATTTAAGTAGGGAAAATTACAACCACACCCTGAGGTATGATTAAATTACAAAAAACCCCCTCATATTTGGGTAATTACAACTAGAAATCTTCTTACACGTCCGTCCATGTGGTGTCAAATTTAGTGGAATCTTCTAGATTATATGGAATATTCTCAATTTTGTACCCGTTTTGCCCTATTCGAGCTCCACGTTTTGAATGAAGATGATCATAAGATGTATTTACTATTTTTCGGCTTGTATATATATATATATATATATATATATATATATATATATATATATATATATATATATATATATATATATATCAGATTGCGGTGCATTAGAATTTTTGCCCAAAAGGAGTACAAACTAGAGAACATTCCACGGAATCTAGAAGATTATGTTGAATTTGACACCATAAGGGTGAACGTGTAAGAAAATCCATAGTTGACGGGGTAATTGTAATTATCCAAACATGAGTGATTTTTTTCGTAATTTGACCATATCTCATGGGTGATTGTAATTTACCCATATAAGTAATTAGTGTAAATTATTAAGGTGAGGTCGAATTACCAAAAACTCCTTTACAACTATTTTTTTACCCAATCGTCTTGATTCTCTGATATGTTTCTTAGAGCGATTCCAATGAAGAAATCAAATCGGGAATTAAATTCTAGAACTTCTATTTCGATGCTCGAATATTTAAATATTCATCTTCAATGGAGGAATCACATTAGTAGTTATTTGGATAGTTCGGAGATAGAAAAATGCACCATGCGATAGGTATAAAAAAAAATTAACTACTCAAATAACCTATCATGAATTGACATGTGTCGGTTTTAAATATGTTTATTCTAGGGGTGGAAATCGGACGGAATGGATCGAAAATGTCTTTTTCGGAAGTTAAAAATAGGTTCCAATTTCTGTTCCAAAAAAATCGGAATTTGAAAATCCATTCCAATTTCGGAATACCTCGGAATCGGCGGAATTTCGGAATCTTCAGAAATTGCATTAATCCTTAATTTTTGATCCAAAATAGGAAATAATGGTAATTTTTAGCATTTTTTTCTTCTAATATTTTCGTAATTTTCGGCAAAAGCCAAGAATCCAAAACAAAGATCAATAAGAGGAAATGTAAACACTTGTAAAAACAACATAATCAGTTTCTTACAAATTTTCAAAAAAAAAAAAAGAAAAAGTAAATATAGTTCTTGCAAACATGAATAGAAAAATCATATCGGAAATCGGAATTTCCAATAATTTTATATGAAATTCCAATTCCGTTCCAAAAATAGTCAAAAAAATCGGAAATCGGAATGAAAAAAAAGTGTTCCAAATTCGGCGGAATTCGGAAATCCCGTTCCAATTTCCACCCCTAGTTTATTCTTATATTTGCAATTTGATAGTCTATTTAGTGTCTGGTTTGTGGTTGGAGTAAATAAGTATCAAAATAATAAAACTAACATCAAAGTAATATTTGATGATCCATTTTAATGTTTTGCCGTTGGAGTTGCTCTTAGAAAATGCTGATTTAATTACCCTAGGTAATTCCGATGATACAATTTAGATCGAACAAATGACAAATAGACCCATGACAAGAGCACTTAATTAAAAAAAGGGACATCCAACTTTTTTGTCTTGCAAATAAATCCACCTCGTTCAAACTTATTTGCAAATAAGGAAAACTTTTTTATATATACCAAAATTACCCTCAACTCCTTCAAACCCTTATTTAACTCCAATGTCATGATTTATACCCCAATTTAGCCCACTTTCATCAATTAACTAATTTTGACCCTTATCCCAATTTTGACTCCAATTTTGGCCGCCACCGCCGGAGACTGCCGGTCAGCCGCCGTTGACTTAAAAAAAAAATCATTAATATTACTGTCAGAGACAGTTTCCGACAGTTGCATTGATGTATTAATTAATTTATCGTCTTGACCTGCAATTGTGTTGTCTTCGACCGTTATATTACCGTCTCCAACTGTAATATTACTGTCGCATGCAGTAATATTATTGTTTGGACAGTAATATTAGTAATATTTCTGTCTCACACAATAATTTTGTTGTTAACACAGTAATTTAGAGAGAATTTTTTTTAAAAAGTCAACGTCGGAGACTGGCGAGAAAAACAATTCAGAAATAAAAAGTTTTCAAAAAAAAAAAAAAAAGACGCCAGAGAACCGCGCGGTCAACGCCGAAATCTGGCCGGAAAAACAAATTCCATAATTTTTTTATGAAAATGGGAGCTAATGTGATATATTTGTTCAAATCCGAAGTCAATGTGCAATATTGATGGAGTTAGAGTATAATTAATGGAATAGATGAAAAATATTTTGTGAGGGGTATTTTAAACAAAAGACATGTGGATTAGTTTATTAGACATGTGGGCTATTTTTTATCTGGACATTTTAGCCTCTTGTTATGGACCTATTTACAATTTACCCTATAATTTAATGGAAAAATTAATTGTAATATGATTTTTACTGAATAAAATAATTGTTTACTAGTCATTGTGTAGTGTAAATATTTTTACAATTTATAAATGTACCCCTATATTTTTATAAGGTATACATATACCCTTATATTTTTTTATATTTACGCATATCCCTTCGTGTCCGTATCCTATATTTTTGGAAATTCTGTATCGTCGTATCCGTATCCGCTTATCGTCGTGTCCGCGTATCTGTGTCCGTGCAATATAGCTTATTACTTAGCACGATGTCGTTTTGGTTGCACCAAAATGCGAAATCTCTCGGCCCTAGGGCCCCCATCCCTTGACACGACGCGTATTTGACGGACGATTTTAAATCATGGTGACTCAAGGGTCCGTTAGGGTAGCGGACCAGGACCTGGTGCCCCAAGGAACCAATTCTCTTGGAGTTAAAATTTCTAAACTGCGGCTGCTAGTATTCGATCGTAGGACCTTGCACCAACTTACCACCCCCGGGCCGATGTTAGTTTTGATGTTTCGAGTTTCGACTTTCAAGTGTTTAAACCCAAATGCAGACAAAAATTAATGACGTAATGAATTTTAAACTAGTTGTAGAAAAATGACTTTTACGAACATTAACCGTAGCAAAAGATACCAAATTTGTAGTAAAAAGGCTTTTGCTACGAATTTGCCGCGTAGCATATACGAACGTGACAAAACCTTTGCTACGATAAATGGCCGTAGCAAATACTTCTTTGCTATGGTAAATTCTAGCATTTACTATAACTCAAAGATTATCCCGTATTAAAAGTTACATTTTGTTACGATTTCTTACAGTGAAAAAAAATTGTAGTAAAAAACCATTTTTCAGCTAGTGAATATAAGCGGTAAATTATAATGTTAAAATATAGTTCGTTCAATAGTTATACCTTATATAATTAAAACTTCTAACTTTTAACTAGTCCCTAGTATGTTCTTATCAAAAAAAAACAAAAAAAAAAAAAAAAAGGTTTTTCTAAAAGCATTATTTTGAAATTCGGGATTAAAATTTCCCATCCGGATTTAATCAATACACGTGTTTATGTCCCATAAATTGAAATCCCCTAATTTTCAGTTCCAAATTGCAAAATCCCGATTGCTGGACAGGAATGATTTTGGATCCATTTTCAGAATGCCAGCCTAAAAATTGTGAGGAAATATAGGTACTATGTACTCTCTTTATTCCTGAATAATTGTATATTTTCACCTTTTGCACAAGAATTAAAGAACTTAATAAATGTGAATTGATTTTAGTAAAGTCACATAAAATGATCAAAATACTGTAATTTTTATCATTTAATGATTTATAAGAGAGAGTTAATGATCAGAGTTGAATTAAGAGTTAAATACAGTTTACGCCCCTAAAGTATACCCTCTGTAACATTTACCCCCTAAAATATCATTTGTAACAGTTACTCCTCTCAACACAATTTAATTTGTATTTTAAATTCTAGTGCCTTCAAATTTTCTCTTTTATTGAAAGAAATAACTTAAAAGAATAATTAAATTATACAACTAAAAATATTTGTTTAAAAATGCAATATTTTAAAATTTTAAAAATATTATCTTTTGTTGGTTACATATTTAATAAATAACATGATCTAAGTGTTGTTGGACCAATTAATCCAATATATTCATATTGATAAAGTTTAAGACTTCAATGCATAACTAATTGCAATCTTAAGTATTTAAATTTATTTTAGTTCATTAATTTTATAAAATATATTTTCATTCATTATCATACAAGATATATATATGACCTTTTAAATTTTTTTTCCAATAATTTAATTTTAGTTACTTTTCAATTTTATATGATCCAATAATTATTAGATTGTTATGTTTATTATGTTTTAAATTTTAAAATATAAAATAATTGATGTTGAGGGGTTAAGTGTTACAAATGATACTTTAAGGGGTTAAGCGTTCCATATGCTATATATACTTCAGGGGTGAAAAGTGTATTTAACCCTTGAATTAATAAGGATAAAACGAGAAGATTTCCCTTTTATGCAGTATTGGAAATGTAAAGTGACATATATGTATGTTATACTTTAGGGGGTGAAAAGTGACATTATATAATTAATAATATAGAACAAAAAGAATTTTCATAAGTGACAGTTTTTGGGGAACAAATTGAGTAATAATTAAAAAAGAAAACAAAAATCGAAAATTTGTACAAAGTCCATCATATATAAATATCAAACAGAATCACCGATGGATTTTTATTCTGAAAATTACATATGAACTTGATAATTACACAAAGCACACTGATATGATCCAACTAGCTGAAAACCAAAGCAAACATACATAAGGCTAGATGGAAAGGGCAATCAAACAAGCAAGAAAACAGTTACATATTTTTAGACAAATAAACATGCAAACAATTTCATAACATGGAAAAAAAAAATCATATATATTATACATAATTTATACGCGCGTGCGTACAAAGTTTAATCTCCGCCGCCACCATCGCCGCTGTCATTGTTGGACTGCCCGCCACCATCAATGTTGGAATGGCCGCCACTGTAACTAGTGTTACTAGTAGTGTAAGAATTATTTCCGTGATTAGTCGATGCAGTGGCGTACGACGTATGAGTATTATTGTTTGAAGCACTAGTATCTCTTCCCGCCCAACTTCCTCCTCCGCCACCACCTGCTCTTACGATAGGAACCTTTTTTTCTCCCACTCGGGTCGTACTCGTAGACATTGTAACAAAAATTCTTCTTAAATTACTTTTAAGTGTAAATTGGTATATGCAGAAAACTATCGTACATATATCATCGTGCGTATATATATCACTTGAAAATCGAGATACAAACGCGTAAAAACACAAAATTTTCAACTTACTTGAATCATTCATCATTTTGGGTAATCAGATTTGAGACTTTACCAAAAAAAAATAATTTTTTTTTGCGTGAAATAATTGTACATACTTTAATTAGGAATTAGGTCTTTTTCATCACCTTGTGATTGGCTATTAGATGTTGACTATTTTAGGGTCAACTCTTCAATTAACATCACTAGCACATAGAGTATATTGCAAATTGAGAAAATAAAAATATACCCTAGTTATTTATCTATCATTTTTGAAGTATTTGTCAATCTTTTCTTTAAATATGGATGAAGATTTCCTATATGCATGCGTGAACTCTTGTTATTTTTTTAACCTTTGAAATAAACTTATTTCGTACTTGGTTGACATGTTATATAATATTGGTTAATTCAGAGTACGCTCTTCGATTAACGATAAGACCGATAACTAAAATTGCATCGTAAAGTATGACGTATTCAAGTGCGTCATAGTAACTGAATTTAATTTTGGTGTCACGTAGTCTATTAATATTATAAGTTCGGTCCAGTTACATAAATTAAAATTCCGGAGAATTACACTTTCATCCCTGATGTTTCACCCGATTCCAATTTTAGTCATTATTATATTGTTCCAAAGTAAATAAAATACACATAAAAAAATCAATTTTAAACACATCTGATCCTCTCAGTCGCGTGTCTGTTCACTTATAACGAAAAATATTATTTTGGGTAAAAAATTAAATTTAAAAATGTTTTTGGGCTATAAAATAATTAGAAATTTAAAGTACTATCTGTAATATTTTTTTCAATAATATTAAAAAATTGCATCATAAAGTGGACATATTCAAGTGCATCATAGAAACTCTATTTTAATTTTGAAGTCATTTAGTTCATTAATATTACAACTTACAATTTCGGTCCAATTATATAAATCAAAATTCTAAAAAGATAAATATAGAATATTTTTTAGTAAACGCAAGACATTTGCTTTTTTTTTTTTTTTTTTTTTTTTTTTTGGCCAGGTCCTATAGCTCGCTCCAAGAAGGCTCCGTATTCTACGCCCAGCTCTTTCACCACTCCCACTTGTCTAATCCGGAGTAAAAAAATTTTTACGTAAAATTTATCTCCCCGCGTTGCGATGTCCACTTGCTCGAGAACTCCTCTCGCACATACCTCGGGCGGCCCGAGCGAGTACCATCATGACTTTCTGCATCCCCCGGATCTAGAGTCAGAGACACCTTGACC